GTAGGCGGAAAGGGCCTATTTACACAATGCGATTAGTTGTATGCGATTCGTATACTGGCGTATATATTGCAATAAATGTGTGTAAAGATGTCACATTTTAAATTCTGTTATACACTGAGGAACAGAAAGAGTGGGCTCAGCAATCGTTTTCATATACGTCTGTAAATCGGCCCATGCAACTGTCAATTGATCCATTTTTATTGTGGTTATATTTGGTTTTATACTACAAGTCACTGTCGCACAGTTGTTTATCTGCAATTCTTGATGCGTTCGAAGAAAAACTATCCTTTTGAGTGAGAGACAATAACACGGCTCATGTTAGATGAAGTGGTGCGAAACCGCCGGACTTTGCGAGTATAGGAAATCTGTGGTTCCATATGCGAGCGAGCGAGCGAAAAATGTTGTGAAACATGCAGGAGAAAACTGATCTTTTTAATGCAAGCGAGCAGAAACTCAAATAAAAAGTTATGAACTAACTGAGGCTTTTATGCAACATCGGCTCTGAATGCGAGGGAGAAGAAACTGGGGTAATAGCTACTGCATGCATGGTATATAAAAATAAAATACTAAAATTTCAAGAATACAGTGGTAACTTGCAGCTATATTATTCACACATATAATAAAGCATGCTCACCTGTTGGAAGAACGATGACTAACCAGATGATAACAGGCTCGGTCCAAAATTGCTGCACTTCAATGGCAGCATGACCCTGACAGAAAGATATCAATGTCAAGAAGGACATGAAAAGTGTGCTCTCCTGCTGTTTCATCTCTTTAGCAAACAGGCGACACATCTACAAGGGAAATAATTATGTTCAGTTAACATTTACGACCACATGTGCATGATATAATTTTTTTATGTATATATGTATACGATATAAAATAGGTATATACGAATAGTCAATATATAGTTGATTGAAAATATTGAAAAAAATTGGGTCACGAGGTAGTGATATCTCGAATAGTTTAAAAGCGTGAATGTGAAATTAAAATAAGTTCATATATGCATGGACCTATAACTTAGTATGAAATGTGGTATAACAACTGCCTAAAATTGACAAAACCCTTTTCGACGTTTTCACATATAGGCTTTCGTCAAGAAAGTCAATAAGAAAACTGAGTAACTTACCTCCCGTAGATTAGGTGGGAAGTAGGACCAATCGATATGTTGCCCGTAAGCTGCTTTTAGTGCGTTGTCCAGCAAGTCTAGTCGGTTAGCCATAGTTGTAAAAAATATGGGAAAAACTATTTGCGGATAAAGTCGAGACAATTGCTGTGCAATAGAAGAAGGCAGTGTGTAGAATGAACAGCTGAGTTTGCAGATGGACGCTTAAATCAAAAGATTATAACAAATTTGTAACGGAAATATTTAGGTGACGTCAATCGGTGACATTGATGTCGCTTCGTTTGAAAAATGAGGGTGTTCTTGTGACAATTTGATGCTCGCGTATATATATCCATGCTCAGCTGGAGTTCACGAAACGAAAATATTTAACACCGATGCTGAATAACCTTTTCCCGTCGGTGTTCTTGCGACAATTTGATGCGTGCGTATATCCATGCTCAGCTGGAGCTCACGAAACGAAAATATTTATGACTGACCTTTTATGACCGACCTTTTATGAATAACCTTTTCCGTCGGTGTTCTTGCGTTATATAGGTAATAAAAATATGAACTTTGCACAATTGTAATTAGCAGATTACGGTGCATTATAAATGCAATCAATAATAAAACAATTGTTGTGAAATGGAAGAAGGCGGTGTCGGTGCAGAATTTGCCTATGACAAATTTGTAGCACAATAATTTCGGTGACTTCAATGGGTGACATTTATGTCGCTTTGTTTGACAGTTTTCGTCATAAGGTGTGAAAATAAAAAAGAATATAGTTTATAACTATCTACACTATTATAAATATTTGATAACAAGGTGTGCGAGTTTTTCTCTTTTGCTATTGTGTTTAAAACCGTCGTTATTTTTCTGTTGAAAGAATAAATTCCATTAACGTTAGGCTTGCTGTCAAGAGTATAGCATAAGGAAAAAGCCGTATAAGTGTTCTTGAATTCAGTAGTGCCTGTGTGTGAGAGTCGAAATGAACTGCCTGAAGAGTTTTTGTGCGGAGGGTGTTCATTCTAAATAGTTATATAGAAGGTATTATTAGTAATAGATTGTACGTTTGAAAGTTTCAGGTTAACAGCAGCTTTTGCAATTCAACAAAGTGGGTGAAAAATTGCGGAACAAAGCAAGGGCTGTATATAGGGTATAATAATTTGGAAATTAACTATAATACTTAATTTCATGCACCATATAGGTTAAAAATAATGGTCTATCCCGTCGCTGTTTTTGTCTTTGTCCAAAGAGATAGGTGTTATATAAATGAGATGTGAGAAACGTGAATATCCTCTTTCATGTTAATAACAACCCAGAAGACTCTAAATTGTCGCTTCTCATATATGAAGTATGCAGGGAAGCAAAATAGAACTGCGCGATTTTGAATATGTTGTTTTGCAGTGTTCGAAGGAAGAAATATGTGCGAAAAGACGTGAACTGCTATCGGTATTGGACGGAGATGTTTTCTATGAGATCAAGGATTGGCCAAACGAAATGAAAAGGGTTCTCTGGAAGAAGCCTCTCTCAAATGGAGAAACATTCAAATTTTTGTTATTTTTGCTGGGTAATGGATGTGCACCTCAGGTTAGTTGTGAGTGGATCCTGACATCGACTTACTGGGATAGACAGAAGACGAGAAAGAGATGTGACCAGATGAAATGGATTTGCGGGAATATGGACAGACATGCCGCACGTTGGTTTTATTTTGACATGTTCCACAAGATATATTTACACATAAATGGCACAGAGAGAAAAGTGTAAATAAAAGCATGATAACGCAGTAAGCCAACAGAATCTGCATGCAGAAACATAATAATACGAATAAATATATTTTGTTAAGCGAATAATCGAAATGTGATTTGCATAGTATATACGATTAAAGTAATATCTTGACGTTAATGTTTATTGTTTGTAAAAATTAATGATAATTAATTCTATTTTAAACATAAACAAACACCAGTCAAATAGTTTACCGTTGAAGAAAATGGTAGTATTTTACGTGTGGTTCAAGTTCGAAATAGCCCTACCCCTACTAACGCACAGCTCCTATCGATTCAGCGCTGGGCTGAAATCATCCCAGGCACAAGGTGTTTCAGTAGGATATGAAGAAAATACGTTGGTAAAAATTTATGGGATATTGTAAAGAACGAGGAATCGATATATTGCACAAATATGTCATTTATATATACTGTAATACTTGCGTTTTGGTGATGAATTGTAACAATACAAAAATATACAGTATAAAAACGCAGAAGCACACTATGGAATATTTTCAAGAACGAAGAATCATATATTGTATGCATACAATGTCATATATATATATATTGTAATATATTGAGTTTTTGTGATGAGTCTTGAGTTAATTATCAGTTGACAATACCGATGGAAAATCACTTCTTTTCCGTTGGTACCGACGGTGTAACCGTTTGGTGCCGTGTGTTTATATGATTAGCTCAGCTGGAGTTCACGAAACGAAAATATTTATGACCGACGGTGAATAACCTTTTTCCGTCGGTGTTCTTGCGACAATTTGATGCGCGTGTACATTATATCCATGCTCAGCTGGAGTTCACGAAACGAAAATATTTAACACCGATGGTGAATAAGCTTTTCCGTCGGTGTTCTTGCAATAATTTGATGCGCGCGTATATCCATGCTCAGCTGGAGTTCACGAAACAAAAATATTTATGACCGACGGTGAATAACTTTTTCCATCGGTGTGCTTGCGAGAGTATTGGACATGTATGCCTAACTTTGGTCGAAAATAGTTCAAATCTTAAACCTCTATCATACAGGTGGTCCTTTAGTGGATTTTTCTGGTTCTTGGGTGGATTTCTGGTCCTTTTGTGGATTTTTTTGGTCCTTTAGTGGATATTTTCAAAATATTAGCGATTAATTATATTTCCGTGAAATTTTTATATGTGTTTTCTGATGTGATTTTAAACATTTTATATTCTAAGAATTTTTTTTGAAAAAGTTTTTTAAAAACTTTAAATACGAATTTTTCACATATCTCAGTGTCAAAAACTCGAAACCGGAAGTGGGCGTGGTCAAATGTTAAGGACCACGCCCTCATTATCCCACCCAACTGTGGTTGAAAATGGATGAAATCTTGATGAAATATAATCTCTATAACACAGGTGGTCCTTTTGTGGATTTTTCTGGTCCTTGGGTTGATTTCTGGTCCTTTTGTGGATTTTTTTAGTCCTTTAGTGGATATGTATTTAATGACATATATCAGTCTAAAAAAATCGAAATCGGAAGTGGGCGTAGTCACATGTTTAGGGCCACGCCCTAGTTACCCCGCCTGAGTTTAACGGTATTTCGTTGACATCGAAAACTTTTCCAGACTTTTTTATCAAGGTATTTACATGACATCTCACATGAGATTGAAGTTGTGTAAAATTTTCGCAATTTAATATATTTCCGTGAAATTTTTATATGTATTTTGTGATGTTATTTGCAACATTTTATATTCTAAGAAATGTTTCTGAAAACGGTTATCCTCCTCAGTCCTGGGGTAAAACTTTTTTCTAGAAAATTTCTGATATTTGCAGTTGTTGTTCATTTTAGGATATCTTAAACACCTACATGGTCCATTTTCTTGAAAGGGTCCTCGGTGACCAAGAATTAGCATGTCCCCGTATGTGGACATTGGGTTTCAGTTCCTACAAAGTAGTCCCAATGTCCACATATGTGGACAAAATTAGACATTAAAAAATACTATAAAAATAGCCTCAAATCACCTTTTTTTATAAGTCCCAACAGATTAAACTATTTAAAACTATTTAAAACTATAAATGAAAGTTTGAAATATTAACATGACTTTAAAATGTATCTAAAAATTAAAATGTAAACAACATTCATTTATCTCTGTCCAGTTCAGCAAAAGTTAGCGATGAAATTCTTCAAAACACCCACGGATACATAAGAAGACTTTACATGTCGCACACATTACACGAGATTTACCTGTCTTGCATGGGGGGTTGCGGCATCTTGCAGCATTTTTCATGTCCGACATCATCCTTGGCATGTGGTCAGCTCTATGCCTTCGAGCGACTTCAACAGGAAGGGCAATTCGTTTTGGGAGTGGTTCATCACCAGGCCCAAAATCACCATCATCTTCATCTTCCGAAAGATCTTCCCAAAACAGCAGACTCTCGCTAACTGACAGACGGAAATCGAGAAATTCAGCCAGCTCTTTCTTTGTTTTCCCTTCTGTTATTCTTTCTTCCCTCTCCTGGACCCAGGAGTTGGCTAGGCACAAATCAATCATATGCAAAATGGTACGCACTGTCCATTTCTTTGTTCGTGCACACATCCTATAATAGGAAATCATTCTATCGCTGAGGTCAACACCTCCCATTTTGTCATTGTATTGTTTAATGAGGGCTGGATGCTGAACATCAATGTAAGCATTGTCTGCCTTAGACCACCTTCTACAGACATCAACTGGATCAGAACCAAACTCACTAGAAGCAGTGAGTACTTCTTTATTATCAAACCACTGGATGATACAAATATTTTTATCCTCACGAACAAGTTGATTTATTGAGCCCCTTCCTTCTTTCTTCATTTTATCTGCTGATTTGAGCATTGGTTTTGCTTCCTTTGGTACCAAGTTCTTCATAATAGTCCCAGTGACAGTTATTCTTTTCTCTAGAAGGGCATCCTGAAGCTGAACACTGGTGAAATACCTGTCTACAAATAAAGAGGTATTTGGTGGGACTGTTTGAATGAGGCGAAGTACTGCTAAACCTCCTATTGACAACTGAATGGTGTTGGCATCAGGGAAGGCATCTTTTCCCTGGAAAATCTCAAAATCCAGAACCTCCCCACAAGAAGAAGCCAAGACAAAGTTCTTCAGTCCTGTGGGATTTGGTTTTCCACGTACATATTGTCGAACAGCAACATGTCCAGTGAATGGAATCATTTGTTCATCAATGCAGCACTGTGATGGTCTTGGTCGGCTAATGCATGTCTGCCTAACTCTATCCAATAATGGACGTATTTTCCACAGCTTGTCTATCGTTTCTTATCTTCTGGTACATCAGCATCAACAACAACTTTAATGTGAGATCTTAGTTTGAAGAATGGATCACGTTTCATAGCTTTCTTGATCGCTGTGACTCCAGTACTTTTACTCCAATACATCCGAATTCTTGGATATTTTAATGTTCCCATCATGATGTTGATCCCAAAAAACTTCCGAATATCTTCAGGTGTTGTTCCCAGAGAACGTCCAGTTTGCATTACTGACGTTTGATTTGTAGCTTGAGCAATCAATGCATACAAATCATTGTCAACATACTGATTAAAATAATCAATTGGATTCCAATCTTTATTGATAGTATCAGCTATGGGCGGTTGACTACCATCATCAACATGTTGAGGGATAAATTCTGGGGTAAATGTTGACGAATGCGACCAAGACTTGGGTTTTTCTACTCTTGCTGCAGGGGATTTGCTACATCCCCTGCCACCTACACCCCTTTGTCCTCGTGGACGGCCACGTTGTCCTCTACCTCTACCTCTACCTGAGGATGTTGAAGGCTCTGTTGAAATCTCTTCTGTGCCTGAATTACTACTATCATTGTCACGCTCATCAGACTGCAGGTCGTCGGCTTCGCTTTCACCAGAATCATCAGGGCTATAATCAGAATCAGTTTCTCTAACTCCTCCCGAATTCATTTCATCATCGGATAAGTCAATATCTGAGTCATTGGTAAAGTCAAGAACTTGAGCGGCTTCAAAATACTGGCCTAGATAAATGTTTTTGGAATATTAGATCAAAGAAACTTTATATTTCTATAAATAAAACGATTAACTGTGTGATCAATTCAATTATGTTCCTATTTAGCATTTTAAAGTATATTTATGTTGCCCAACTAAGACCCAGTGTCCACATGTGTGGACATGCTGTTATTATCATTGCAACCTGATGTCCTCAAATGTGGACACATTTTAAAGCTTAAAATCCCTGTTAAAAAAAACTGCTTCGCTATCAAAAACTATTCACAACAAATCTCCACTATCTTATCTTAAAAACAACATATTTCTTAAGGATTACCTTGGAATACCATTTAACGGATTACCTTGTGGATTTCGACTTCTGTCATTCCTCGATGTGGTAGCCATTTTGAAAACCTCTAAAACTGTTGTGTCATAAAGTATTACCCCGAAGCTTCATGGATAGTAGGCTCGAAATGTCCTCAACTGTGGACAGTTGGACTTCTACTGATATTTTGTTTACAATAGAAAATATAATAATTTGAAAAATCGGTATTTTTGTCCACAAGTGTGGACAAGGGGACCGAGGAGGATATAACTATGAAAATATGCGATTTTTTACATATCTCAGTGTGTATACCTCGAAACCGGAAGTGGGCGTGGTCATGTATTAAGGACCACACCCTAATTATCCCACCCAACTTTCGTTGAAAATGGATGAAATCGTGATGAAATATAATCTCTATAATACAGGTGTTCCTTTTGTGGATTTTACTGGTCCTTATGTGGATTTGTGGTCCTTATGTGGATTTGTGGTCCTTTGGTGGATTCTTTCAAAAATTTGCGATTAAATATATTTCTGTGAAATTTTTATATGTATTTTCTGATAAAATTTGCAACATTTTATATTCTAAAAATTTTTTTTGAAAACGTTTTTAACAATGAAAATATGCGTTTTTTCACATATCTCAGTGTGTATAACTCGAAACCGGAAGTAGGTGTGGTCACATATAGAGGACCACACCCTAATTATCCCACCCAACTTTGCTTAAAAATGGATGAAATCTTGATGAAATATAATCTCTATAATACAGGTGGTCCTTTTGTGGATTTGCTGGTCCTTTGGTGGATTTGCTGGTCCTTTTGTGGATTTTTCTGGTCCTTTAGTGGATATGTATTTAACCACATATATCAGTCTAAAAAGCTCAGGACCGGAAGTGGGCGTAGTCACGTGTTTAGGGCCAAGCCCTAAGTACCCCGCCTGAGTTTGACGGTATTTCGTTGACATCGAAATCTTTTCCAGACTTTTTATCAAGGTATTTACTATAACATCTCACATGAGATTGAAGTTGTGTAAAATATTCGCAATTAAATATATTTTTGTGAAATTTTTATGTGTATTTTGTGATGTTATTTGCAACATTTTATATTCTAAGAAATTTTTCTGAAAACAATTTTAACTATGAAAATATACGTTTTTTTACATATCTCAGTGTGTATAAGTTGAAACCAGAAGTGGGCGAGGTCACGTGTTTAAGACCACACCTTAATTACCCCACCCAACTTTGGTTGAAAATGGTTTAAATCTTAAATTTCTATAATACAGGTGGTTTTGAGATAAAAAAATAACAATTATATTTTAAATTTTCAACAGAGAATTATGCTATGTACAGCCATGTATGGGCTATCAAAAGATTGCCCTTGCAATGAGGAATCTAATGATAGCACTTGCATTCTAGGGTATTGTATAGAACTGGAGATATTAGTGAAAATGTCTATACTCTAGGTCATTATCACCATCACTCATATTCAAAATTTTGAAAAGAAAAATATGCTATGCAGAGCTATGTATGAGCTAGCAAAAGATTCCTCTCACTTAGAGAAATCTAATGATAGCACTTTCATTCTAGGGGATTGTATAGAACTGAAGATATTAGTGAAATTGTCTCCAACATAGGTCATTTTTAGATAATTAAATAACACTCATATTTTTTAAAGCGAATTATGGTATGTACAGCAATGTATGGGCTATCAAAAGATTGCTCTCACTTAGAGGAATCTAATGATAGCACTTTCATTCTAGGGGAATGTATTGAACTGGCGATATTAGTGAAAATGTCTATACTCTAGGTCATTATACACAATCACTCATATTCAAAATTTTTAAAAGAAAAATATGCTATGTACAGCAATGTATGAGCTATCAAAAGATTCCTCTCACCGAGAAGAATCTAATGATATGACTTTCATTGCAGGGGGATGTATAGAACTTGAGGTATTAGTGAAAATATCTGAATTTTTCATTTTTTAATATTAAGGAATTTTTGTTTTTTAAGTGGAAAGTATCATTCTGGTGTATCCAAAATAATTGTGAAAGTTGTTTCGAAATTGAAAGGCGTGTTCCTGGTATTGTGGTGTTTTGTTTGAAAATTATTGCTGCCGCAGCGAGCGAGCCTTAAGCGAGCGAGCAAGGCAGCAGATTAAATTATGGAGTAGGGATTTTTTTTTGCCGCAAAGCATTTTGGTCGGCGACCACAATTACGTGCGTGACGAGCTGGCCCGCGACCACAATTCCTTGCGCGTGTGTTAAAGAATTTCTTTTGGTCACGTTGCCTGGTAATTGTTGTTTCTCGTTCGTTGCAGGGAAAAAAGTTTAAACAGGTATTTTGTATATTTCTTTCATGAATATTGCAAGTCTTTATTGATTGTATTGTAATACTTCTTTATTCAAGATATATTTAATTAAGAAATATAACGACAAATATTGTGTTTTTATTCTATACAAGCACGCCGAAAATTTAGTCAGGCTATCGAGTTGTCGCGACACGTTGTTCGTTGTTCACAGTGGTTGTTCATCTTCGTTGTTCACAGTGGTTGTTCATCGCTTGATCGCTGCACAAGTTAAGGGAAAAAAGTTTGTTAAACAGGTAATTTATTATTTTTCAAATTGCAAATCTTTATTGATTGCATTGTAATTTTTTCAACATATATGCATGTTTATTTTTTGTGAGAATCCATACAATATCTTGCCCATCTGAAGCTCTTTGTTGCCTTTTTTTACTCATTTTTAATTTTTTTTACATTTATTTAACGTTTTAAGCACTTCTGTAAAATATTAGTTGTCCTCATTTGACTCATTTCATATAAGCTTACTATCGGCATCTTACAGCATACGGTACAATCATTGGTTTTGTGTTTTTTTCAACTGAAAAGTGAAAAGGGCAAAAATCAAATAGAACTGTAGGTTTTGTGATATTGTATGCCTCATTGTGTGTTCTGCAACTGAAAGGGCTGTAGCCTATATCCAAATGCAACCTTGAATACAACTGTGACTTTGGTAACATTGTTTTTTTATAATTTTATTCAGTACTATTCTTCACTATTTACTCTTCCTATAATTTGATCCAGTTCCATTAACTGGGTGTGTTTAGGCTTGTTATAAACTTATTTGGTTTATTCTGTATTCCTTTACACTTGATCTGTTTCACTCACTGTTATATAATTCCAGTTAGTAAAATTATGGTGCTTTTACGCCTCGGTGTTAGTAAAATTATGGTGTTTTTACGCCTCGGTCCTTAATAATTGGATCCATGTATGTTGCCTAAGTTACATTACATTGGTGTGTTTTTACATGCCTTGTTGCCAACATTGGTTCACTTGATCTGTATCACAGTTTTGACTAATTGTGGTGATCGATGGATAGTAGACTAACTTTCTTGTTTAAGCCAGTTCATTCTGATTCACAAAGGTTTTTGTGTTCAGTGCTAAATTTATATTTGATAATTGAACATAAATTTGTTCCTGAGAAGTATATCAAAAACCTTGATACTCCTTCCAAGTTATTCAAAATAAAGGGTGATGGCAATTGTTTTTTTCGTGCATTGTCATACATCATAACAGGACGACAGACATACCATGCTGTTTTAAGGAAAAAGGTAATTGATCACATGAAAGTAATTGAGAATTTGCTGCAGCCCCATTTGCCATCATCTCTGAGTGAATATCTAAGTAATAGTCAAATAGCAAATGAAAGTGTGTGGGCAACAGACATTGAAATTTTTTTGGCCTGCTCCTTGCTAGACACCGATATTTATGTTTATACCAAGATTGGGAACGTTTTTAAATGGCAAAAGTTTTCAAAGTCGATGCTGAATGAATCTCCACCAAAAAATGATCGTGCAATTTATTTGAATCATACTGGAGGTGTACATTATGATGTTGTGCTAGAAGTGAACTTTGATTTGTTTCCTTCAAATAAATTACACAATGCCAAGGATCTTAACACAAAGAGAACAAGAATCAATTTGGCTAATGAATGTGATCAGCCTATAATTAAGAGGAAAAAAGTAGATGACGTATGCCCAATAAAACCTGAAGTTGTTCAAAAGTCAAAATTTAATGTTCAAGTTCAACATATCTGCAATGATAAGTCAGATGAGAGTGTTTTGAAGACATGTAATCTTTTTGAAAATGATGGATTAATTGGTATGGAAAATGTCTCAAAGTTTCATAAATCAATGGAGTATGTTTTACAACAATGTAAAATTTGTTTTGAAGTTTGGCCAGTGAAAGTTAACAAGAAAAAGTGCCCGTATATTTGCAGTAGGTGGTCATTGGACAAAATAAATCCCAAAAAGTTTTCAGTTCAAAATTCAATGATCCCTTCAGTTGTTCCAAAGGAATTACAAGGGTTAACTCAAATTGAAGAAATGCTTATCGCACGAGCGTTACCAATAATGAAAGTGTATATCAAACCAGGTGGTCAAAGAGGTTATTATGGACATTGTATCAACATGCCGCAGAAAATAACCGAGTTAGCACATACTTTGCCAAGATACCCCAAAAATATACCACTTATTTTGGTTACCATGAAAGGTAAAAACAACACATTCAAAAATGTCATTGTTCGTAAAGCTAAGGTTGAACAAGCATTGTTCTGGTTGTTAGAACATAATCCCCATTATCGAGATGTTAAAATAGATACAATCGCACTTGGTACTTTGCCGCAACAAGGTATTCCTGCTGATCTAAAAAAAATTAACGCACAAAGTAATCTTACCATTGATGATAATGAAATAAGTGAAGATCATATTAATGAAAATGATGATGATACTGCATACAGTAAAAACATTGAAACAAGTAGCTTTCTTCCTGAATGTAAGAACGAAAGTCTTGAAATAGATGCAATTCACAAAAGCTTAGGCTCTTGCAAAATTAATTGGCCATCAATTGATAAGCAACCACTTAATGAATATTCTACGCCATTTCTTGCTACTTTGGTGTTCCCAACATTATTTCCAGATGGTTTGGGTGACCCCACAAATCCATCACTCGAAAGAGACTTAGGTTTTGGTAGTAGAATACAACACTTGATTAAAATTGCTGAAAACGTTGACGGGAAGTGGGTTTATCGTTTTGCATCACATCCCAGATTTTCTTATTGGGCATTAAATATGATTCAAAGGAAAAGAACATTGCAGCAAAGTAGTGTTTACTTGAAGCAAAATCCCAATGAGGCACATTTAACCATGGCTGAATTGCAAAATATGGCTGTAAGTAATGCCTCAAGTTTTATGTCAAAACTTTCCAGATATGTCGCTAATGTCGCGAATGTTTTACGTATTTATTTAATGATTTCACTTTACACACCGTGCAGAACTCACATAATCAACCGACGTTTACGCTTTCGTTTTTACCCATTCCCTCATGTTCTCCGGTATATTCCGATTGTCCCCCGAGTCGACCCCGAGCCTATACTATTTTTAAATAATCCCGACACTCTCCCCCTATTTGATTCATGCAATGAAGCAAATATATATATATAACGTAACTAGAAGTTAATTGTCCTACACTACAGTTCAAGGTCCAAGTGTTCTGACCGAGTTCGCCAGTCTTCTTATTCGACTGTACTTTCCTTGTTCAAAATGTCTTTAATCCGTTCGTTTGCTTCCTTAGCTGCGGCTCTTTTGGGCGCAAACTCTTTTGCCTGGGGATTTAAACTCTCCGATTGTTCCACATGTCCCTTCGCAACAACTTCGTCACAACTCAGCTCCATAGGGCACAATTGTTGGACCGCTCGCTCAATGTATGATTTCCCGGCTCTCAACCTAGCAGCACGAATTACTCCATCTCTTCCTTTAATCAGCTTCACGACGATCCCAATGTTCCATTTACCACGATTCCTCTGGTTGCTTTGAATTATGACGACGTCACCAACTTTCAGTGATAACCTTTTACTCTTATTTTTCAGGTTATGCCTTTCTCTTAGACTTCTTACGTACTCATTGGTCCAGCGGGACCATAACACGTCCTTACAACGACGCAGGTATTTAGCTCTCTTCCGCAAATCTGTTCCTTCAATTAAATCAACATCTGCTTCAGGTAGGAGATTTGTCTGTCCATACATCATGAGATTCGGCGTCAAAATCGGGAGTTGAACATCATCTTCAACGTACGATAAAGGACGGTTATTCACAGCAATCTCCACATCGAGTAAAACCTCCTCCAATTCCTCAAAACTCAAAACAGCTCGACCAATCGATTTATAGAGCGCTTGTTTAACGATTCCTACCAACCGTTCAAATTGTCCACCCCACCAGGGTGCTTTAGCTAGATTAAATTTCCACTTCATCAGGTGATGGGCAAGGTAGTCTTGTAACTTCTCATCCTTCATCAACGCATTCAGCCACTTTGCAGCCGCTACAAAACTTTTCCCATTATCAGAGTATATGGTGGTAGGTCTTCCCCGTCTTGCTATGAATCGCTTCAAACACCGTATAAACCCATCCGTGGTCTGGTCTGTCAGCAGCTCGAGATGTATCGCTCTTGACAAGCTACAGGCGAAAAGCAGTATGTACGACTTGCCTTCTCTCTTCTTGGAAAACTTGTAGACTATCGGGCCCGCGTAATCCACGCCAATGACTTGAAACGGCGAGGAGCCTTCTGTACGTTCAACCGGTAGGTTTCCGGGGGGAGGGCTGTGGAAAGCTGACGCATGAAATTTCTTGCATCCATAACAGCGAGTGTTGACACTTCGTGCAAGCTGTCGCAGGCGTGGTATCCAGTAATCGTGGCGAACGAGTGCCATGGTAAGACCAACTCCCCCATGGAGAGTTAATTCATGAGCATCTTGCACCATCTTTTCCGACAGGACGACCTTAGGCGGTAAATATACGGGGTAAGTCCCTTGTATGCGACCTCTACACTCGTAGATCCCCTCATGATTTCTCTGTAAGTTAAGGGATAACTCATCATCACGAAACTTCTCCGTCATACTGTATCTCTCTTGGACTCTTCGGATCCACCACTTCACCTGTTGCTCTGTCTCTTCAGTCGTCAGGGGCCCGAGGTTTCGCAAATGTTTTGGGGTCTTGCAGTTGTGAAGAAATCTCGAAATCCATGCGTTAATACGGATTGTTTTCCAGTAAGGATGTTTGATTAATAGTGCATCAAAGTCGTCTTGCGTCTCTATCGCCGTCGCAAGGATCTCTTTAATCTTCTTGGCTTCGGCTTCAGAATCTTTACTTGGCTCGGTCCTCACAGAAGCAGGCCACTGGTCAGAATCAGCCAACCAATGAGGTCCGTTGAGCGATTCACCGGTTAAATGATTTGCTTCGCATCCTCGACTCCCTTGATCAGCTGGGTTATCGTCAGTACCAACATGTCGCCACGTAATGTAATCTTTCTCGTTGATTTTTCTCACCCTGTTGGAAACGAATTGTTTGTATGTTCCGCCTCCCTTAATCCAATGCAGGGCGACTAGGCTGTCTAGCCATCCAAATACTGCTCTCACTGGGTACCCCGAGAGTGCGGTTCGTACATTGTCCACCAAGTTCGCGGCCATATGTCCCGATACCAATTCCAGCCTTGGGATTGTAAGGCTCCTTTTGGCCAATCGCGATTTTGCCGTCACCAATCCGACACTTACACCTGATGGTTGCTTCACTACCGTATATACTGCTGCTGAAATTCCAGACCCACTGGCATCGCCGAAAGTGTGTAACTCCACGATTTCTAAGGGTTCTCTGTATCTCGGGATACTTCTTGCCCAAAGAACCTTCTCTGGAAGGCATCGCAGGAACTTCAGCCACTGCTGTCCAAGATTGTCAGACAGTTTTTCATCCCATGGGAGGTGTTTGTCGCAAACCTCACGAAATATGATCTTCCCCAATAAGGTAACAGGAGATACAAACCCAAGGGGATCATAAACTGATGCTAGGAATCTTAAAATTTCTCTCTTTGTATTCTCATCAGGCTTATTTGGGAAAGTAACACCAAGCGTATCGTTATGTTTGTTCCATGGTAATCCTAACAATTTGGTCTCTCCTTGCAGAACTCCCAGCTGATCTTTGGCATAGCTCTGTTGATGATCTACATGATTGTTCTCCTCTCCGCTTTCCAGTTGTGAATAATTGGAATGCCATGGCTTTCTCGAACACACTCTTGGTAGTTCCTTTCAAACTCAGGGCTTCTTCTTCCGTGGATGCACCAGTGATAATGTCATTGACGTACAAGGATCTCTCTATCTCTTCTATCTCTTTTGGATATCTCTCTCTTTGCTGATTCAAATGTTGCTTTAGTGTTGCAGCCAAAAGGAAAGGGGATTAGACTAACCCAAACAATGCTCGCGTAAATCTTAAAACTTCAATGTCCCTGGGGTTCTTGTTCTTGATCCAGTGGAAACGTAAGGCGTCTCTGTCCTCCACTCTTATAAGCACCTGTAAGAATGCTTTTTTCAGATCGGTAGATAAAGCGATCGGCTTCAGTCGATTCCGGACCAGGACATTCCATAAGAGGTTCTGGAGAGGTGGGCCTGTCTCCAGACAATCATTGAGAGACGGGCTTTTCTCACTTTCTCTCGCAGACGCATCAAACACAATTCTCATTTTAGTTGTTTCAGCGGTTTCCTTGATCACCGGCTTATGGGGAATATAAAATTCCCTACCCTGAGGATCATTGACAGCTCTCTCCACAATACCTTCCGCTAATTGTTCCTGAATGATGGTGTCATACTTGTCTAACTGGACTGGATCTTTTCCTAGTTTCCTTACCAAGTTTTCCAACCGTTTTAGGCTTCCATGTTCATTTGTTGGCAAGGGGTCATGTCCTGATTTCCATAGCAGACTTGTCTCGTAACGACCGTCCTTATTTTGGGTGAGCTGTTCTGCGAACTCCTCATAAATGACTTGTTGATTTTCTTCTTGTTGGTCTTCCAGACCCAACACATCCAAGCTACATAACTCTTGGTAATCGGCAGATGATGTTCTAGTTGCATAACCATTTGACAATTTAGACTCACTGCCAGCAGACATCACCGTCCATCCTAACGTTGTCAACTCAGCTATTGGTTCCAGTGGTTGACCAATTCTCGGTTTCGTTTCCATTTTAACTCTCGAATAATCACTGGCCCCCAAGATTACGTGAACAGGCAATTCACTCTTCTGATCGTTGTTGTCCATCACCACTCCCTGCAAATGGTTGTATCGCTTCAGAAGCTCTTCATATCTAGGGTTTGGGACTGTCAGAAGTACACTTTTATCTACTTCATTCAGCATTGTTGACATTTCAAACTTCTCATTGACACTCGATACGTTCACCTCGTAGCTGTTGACCTTTTGGGTGGTTGAACAGACCATCATCTCAATTTGCTTATGCTCAGTATGAGTTGGTTTCTTGTGTCACTGTTTCTTCCAGCAACGCCGTCCTGGCAGGATCGCCACTGTGTCGCGAATGTTTTATGTATTTATTTAATGATTTCACTTTACACACCGTGCAGAACTCACATAATCAACCGACGTTTACGCTTTCGTTTTTACCCATTCCCTCATGTTCTCCGGTATATTCCGATTGTCCCCCGAGTCGACCCCGAGCCTATACTATTTTTAAATAATCCCGACAGCTAACATCACTGGTAGTAATGCTTACTGGTATAGAGTACGTGAAGACCTGAAAGCTATTATAGCTTATAAAGAGGCGCCTACAATTTTTTACATTTTCTTCTGCTGATATGCATTGGCCACAACTGCATTCTCTTTTTGATGAAAACTGTCCTAATCCAACCACTGAACAAAGGAGGAACAATGTCATTAATAAACCTCATTTAGTTGACTGGTTTTTTACCAAACGCATTGAAAGTTTCTTGAAGTATTGGTTGTATGACACTCTTGATGCTGAGTGGCATTGGTACAGGTATGAATTTCAGGCTAGGGGTAGTATCCATTGTCATGGTATGGCAAAATTGAAAAATGACCCTGGTCTGTGCAAACTTGGAGAAATAGCACTTAAAGGCTTTATTGCAGAGAAAGATAACACCTGTACAAAGATCCCCGATATTTTGCATCAGATTAAGAAAGGTAAAGATGCATCGCAAGAAATTGCTAATTATGCAGATTCCTTGATTTCAACAGTTAATCCAATTTCCCCTGAAAACAAATCATGGACAAAACCACTACCTCATCCATGTAGTAAAAGACACGAGCTGATTAAAGATCACGAATCGGACTACGCTGATCTCCTAAACACAGTTCAACGCCACACCCGGTGTAGCCCAAACTATTGTCTAAAAAAAAGTCATGGCAGTAAAGAGCCAAGTTGTCGCTTCAATTACCCTGTAGAATGTCGTGAAAAAACTGTGGTTGACTTTGAACCCATACATACAAAGGATGAATCTGTTCAATACAGATTGAAAGTGAAAACTTGAAGGAACGATTCCAGATTGAACAATCATCAAATCATTCAACTTAAAGGGTGGCGCGCAAATTGCGACATACAGGTTATAATTGATCATCATGCTTGTGTGGAATACCTTTCGAAATACGCTGCTAAGGGTGAACCACGATCACCAATGCTGAAAGACACTTTAAATTCTGTTATAAACCATGATGACTCTTCTCCGTCTACTAAGGTCATAAAAAGACCTATGATGAAATATGTTGGTGAAAGAGATTTCAGTGCACAAGAAACAATGCACTTGCTACTTTCTCTTAATCTACATTCTACCAGTTTCAAAGTACTACCGATCAACTTAAATGGTTCTCGAAAAATTGAAACGACCCTAAGTAGTGAACGTAAGTGCACTCAAGATTCTTTGTTAGATATTTACGCAAAACGTGAGGTACATCAAAAGAACTTACCAAATATCATGCAAATGAACTTTATAACCTTTGCTGCAGAGTATAAAGTTAGTAAAGGCAAGCTCATTGAACAATCCGCTAATGTAGTGCCCAGAATTTTCCCAAACTACTCTCCAAACCCGAAAGGAGATAATTATGGTTTATATTGTAAATATCAGCTTCTGAAATACAAGCCTTGGAGTGGTTCACAAAATGATGCTTGGAATAGCAATTCACCCGATAACAATGTGTTCATTCATGCATGGCACAATGTTTTGCTCTCCTCTTTTGCAAAAGATAATGTTCCAGACTGGGAAAAAAAGATTCAGAACGCATTAGATAATTATAATCAAATTAACGATGAACTTGAAACGGTAGAAAAAGAACAAAATATGCAAGAAGAATGGATGATAATTTCAGATATACACAACACCATGAACATTGAACAAGTAAGCAACCAACAGGATTTTCATGATTGGAAGAAAGGGTGTTTGAGTTATTCTCAGCAACAACTCGGTGAAATGCCTAATTGGATTAAGACAACGAAGGAAACTTCAAAATTGAACTATAACGACAGTAAACAAACTGATGTGTCCACTTTTAGTTCGGGTCAAAGACTCACATATAATTTAGTCAAGAATCATTTTAAGAGTTCTGCAACTGAAGAACCTTTGTTGTTGATCATTAATGGAGTAGGTGGCACTGGCAAAAGCTACTTGATTGATGCTATTTGTGATTTGCTGGGTGCCAAATGTGCTATTACTGCTTCCACTGGTAAAGCAGCTTTTAATGTTAGAGGGATAACTGTGCATTCATTGTTGAGGCTACCTATTAGAAATTCGAATCAAACCGACTTAGCAGGTCAAACTCTTGCAACTTTTCAAGAAAGCCTCTCTGAAATTGATTATATCATGATTGATGAGTACTCAATGATAGGTCAAACAACATTAGGATGGATTGACAGATGATGTAGGCAAAGCACTGGTAGGAAGAGTGAACTATTTGGTGGCAAATCGATAATACTTACTGGAGATCCTGGTCAGTTGCCTCCTTTTTGTGATAAACAATTATACCACTCTAAACCATCTTCTCCAGTAGGCGAACAAGGTTATTATGCGTACAATATGTTTGATAAAGTAGTAACTCTTACAATGAATCAGAGAGTTAAAGATTCCAATATCTCACAGAATCTCTTTCGAAGTTTATTGCTTCGTCTACGCAATGGAGAATCCATGAAAGAGGATTGGAAACAATTGCTGACCAGACAACCATCCCATGTTTCTAACCTTCAAGAATTTCAACACTCTATAAGATTGTTTTATAGTAATGAAGAGGTTGCTAAATTCAACTATGAGCATTTACTAGATCTTAAACAGCCAATCGCTCAAATAAATGCTAGGCATTCAACTAACAAAGCAAAAGTGATAAACTCCCAAGATATGTATGGCTTACAACCAACATTGCTTATTGCTAAGAAGGCACGAGTGATGTTGACAATGAATTTGTGGCCATCAGCAGGCTTGTGCAATGGTGTGACTGGATATATCGAAGATATAATTTATGCACAAAGTCAAGAACCTCCTCTTTTACCCACTGCTGTTGTTGTTAAATTTGACAACTATATTGGTCCATCATTTTCTACAACACCTTGTTGTGTTCCTATTTCTCCGATAACAGTCAGTGTAAACCTAAACAATGTTATCCACGAGCGACAGCAACTACCACTAACACTTGCATGGGCTTTAACAATCCATAAAAGTCAAGGAATGACTATAGACAAACTCTGGGTTGATATTGGCAAGAAAGAGCATTCGTTAGGAATGTCATATGTTGCCTTAAGTCGCGTTCGAAAACTTTCCTCCATGGTCATCGAGCCAATGCCATTTGATCGACTTAGCTCAATTAAGAAATCTGACACTCTCCACTACCGATTAATAGAGGAAAAACGTTTAGAAAACTTAGCCAAGAACCTCATAAACAAGCTTTAGCTGTGTAATAAGTTTCTTAAAGTTTCGTTTCATCTTTAATAAACGCGTATTCTAATAGTATTCTAATAGTAGCATACATAATTCTTACACGATTTACATTTTGGCGCGATGGGATCTCCATTTTTTGTTTGTAGATGTATTATGATATTGATTAGATCATACTAAATAAGGTTTGCAATTTTTTTAATTTCCCAACAGGCCCTCTACAAACACATGGAACCAAATAGCAATGAAGGTACGCAGTATAAACATTGCAATACTGTAAATCTGTAGCACACAGTTTAGGTTAGGGGGATCACTCTACAACACATAATGCTTCATTTAAGTGTGGACGTTTTTAATATTTTAGAAACAATGGTGGCCTACCTCCACAATCTTTCAGAGATTAAAACCAGCCAACGTAACAATGCTTACTTCAACCTAACCCCTACAAATGCAAGACAAGTATAGAACCGTCTGCTTCTCGCCTGAAAAGCATTCCAAGTGCAAAGCTAATTACGAATCATCATCTCCCGTGGAAATATCGAAGTATCAGATCAAAAGAAACAAAATTACTGATGAAGACGAAGTACATATGAATAAGAGAATGAAGCTTGAGGACGCCAAAGACAACGAGGTCTCGTTTAATATTAAAAATCTGCCAAAAGTCGAAAAAGATGAACAATTGTATGATGTGGAAAGTTTACTTTTCTGGGAAACCAATTCACTTGTCAACACCAGTGGCAGAATAACATTTACGGGACCACAAGAGACAATCCAAGCAAAGGGGAAAACCATCAAAAAGCAAGAGGCGGTATTGACGGACAACAGCGCATCAATTCGCCTTGTGTTGTGGGAAGGCCATATAAGCAAGATCGTCAGTGGCTGCTCGTACAAGCTAAGCAATGTTGCTATCAAGACATATCAAGATGCAAAATATGCCACTCTAAACGCAAAGTCTTCAGTTGAAATTGCTGATACGGTCTTCGACAGGGAGGATGAGATCACCATCGATTTTAATCTTCACAGTGTCTCCTGCCCAGCAGATGGAGTTAAATCCATAAACAGACATTTATCCTGCTTTAAATGTCACGCAAAAATTGTTCCTGTCCCTGGAAAAAGATTAATAAAGTGTAGCGAGTGTGGTGTGGGCCAATTAAGAGAGAAGTGCAGTACCAGAATCTACGCCAGCGTTCTTTTCTCTAAACCTGGTGAAGAAATTAACTTGACACTATTTGAGGACAAGCTAATGGAGTTGTATAGAATCTTTAAACCTGATACAACAGCAGATTTCTCTCAGCTCAGCGATGACGATGTAATGGAGTTCATTTTAAGCGTGAACGCGAAAGTATATTATAACAATAAGAAAAATTATCCTCTCTGTTACAAACATTTGAGGACAGATTTTATACTTTGCTATGGTATCACTCCAATCTGTTCTGTTGGCTAGTTATGTATAAAAATGGAATATGACGAACTAAAGTCTTTACAACATATTTTGAAATTGTTCATGTTGTTGATATTTTTTATTAATATCACCTTCTGTAGATTGTTAAAGTAGACTTGAATTGACACATTCAAGATGTTGACAGTTCATTTTAAAAAGTATTGTTTTTTCAAGCTGTATTAAGGTTATTTCAAACTTGTTGTTTGTGTCATATATATTTGTCGTTGCTAAAGTTAATAAACGGTTATATCGCTTCTTTTTTATTTGGTCACATGTTCTTGAAAGTCGCAACCGTTGGATTAATCGCCCCATTGAATTGAAAAACGATAAACCTCGTTTACAAGGGCTAGCATAGCATGGCGCTTCTGTCGTGATTGATAAAGGCAGCATTCGCTACCTCTAAGGTAAACTAGTTTAAATTTAACTGCTTTGGTGGAGTGGAAATTATTTACTAGAAAGCATAAGGCTCTTAAGGTGTGTATCAATATGTTTTTATGAAAATTTAATGTGCAATTAGTTTAATATTTCCAATATTGTTGGCAAATTTATATTTCTTTAAAATAAATACAAAATGTTGTCAATCAAATCATTACCCACTGATCTCACTAAAAATACTGGACCTGCTTCCCTGGTCCTTTCGTGGATTTTTATATTTGTTGGGCGTTGCCAAAAACTGTGGAGGGTGTATCTCAGAGCGGTTATGACAGATTACAACAAAACTTTGGTGGGGCATGTTGGGCGTGGTCACTCATCAGGGGACACGCCCACTTCCGGTTAAAAGCTAATTAAGTATTTTTTTTAATTTTTTTAAAACTTTGGAAAGGTGTATCTCAGGGGGTTTTTTACCAACTCCACCCATATCCCGGGGGGGGGGGGAATGTGGGCGTGGTCATCGATTTTTTGCCACGCCCACTTCCGGTCGCTGGTCCTTTAGTGGATTTGGTCTGGTCTTTTAGTGGATTTTTGTGGTCCTTCAGTGGATTTTTGGTCCTTTAGTGGATTATGTATTTAACGATATATATAAGTATAAAAGAATTGACACCTAAAGTGACTGTGGTCACGTGTTAAGATCTTAATGATAAGAAAAATCTTAACGACACATGGCCGTTTAGTGGTTTTTGGTTGTCCTTTAGTGGATTATGTATTTAGCAACATATATCAGTATAAAAGACTTGAAACCGGAAGTGGGCGTGGTGACGTGTTCAGGAGTACGCCTTAATGACCCCACCCAACTTTGGTTGAAAACGGATAAAATCTTTACGACACATGGCCGTTTAATGGATATTTCTGGTCCTTTAGTGGATTTTGGTGGTCCTTTTGTGGATTATGTAATTAGCGACATATATCAGTATTAAAGACTTGAAACCGGAAGTGGGCGTGGTCACATGGTTATGACCAGATTTCAACCAAATTCCGGTGTCACGGTCTCAGAGCTCCCCCAGTCTCAACGCTCCCCTTGTACCTAATGCGCATGTGCATTGTAGGGGGATGACTGAGCACGTAGCAGTGCGGGCTCAGTTCTCCCCCAGTCTCAACAATCCCCCAGTATGGCTGGTTGCAGAATCGAAGCAAAAAACCGTCATATAAAACTTCATTCACGTTAGTTTAATGCAAACTTATGTTTACGCTCAACTGAACGTATACTAAAGGATATCTGTTGTGGATTTTGAATGGTCAATATACAGTATGTCGCAAATTTAGACTAAATCTCTAAATCATATGATAATGATAATATAAATATAAATAAATCATCAATGATGATAATAATTTATCAACAAAACACCGACTGACAGAGTGAGAGTATTTTTAAATGGCCACATTAATAAATTACATATTTTTTCTTTCTGCTTCTTACAGTCACTAGTATTTATTTATAAACTTCCATAATATTGATAAATTTAAAAAAGATTATTTTATTTATTTATTTATAATTACTGTAATATCAGTCATTGTCAACCCCTTTAACTTTTTATACCTCTTTGGATTTTTGAATTATCAGCAAGTCTTGCTCCGACTCAATGACTTATCCCTTGGAATCGATCAGGAGGTCTCACTTAGTTATTGCTTTGAATTATCAGTCAGTTTAATTCTTCCCCTTTACACTGTCAGTCTCAGTGATTCAGTCATCCCCTTTGTACTACCAGTCTCAGTCATCTCCTTTGCACCACCAGTCTCATTCATCCCCTTCATACTATCAGTCTCAGTCATCCCCTTCATACTATCAGTCTCAGTCATCCCCTTTGTACTACCAGTCTCAGTCATCTCTTTTGCACCACCAGTCTCAGTCATCCCCTTCGTACTATCAGTCTCAGTCATCCCCTTCATACTATCAGTCTCAGTCATCCCCTTTGTACTACCAGTCTCAGTCATCTCCTTTACACCACCAGTCTCAGTCATCCCCTTTCCACTAACAGTCTCAGTCATCCCCTTCATACTATCAGTCTCAGTCATCCCCTTCATACTATCAGTCTCGGTCATCCCCTTCATACTATCAGTCTCAGTCGTCCCCTAATTTGCACTTACAGTCTCAGTCATCCCCTTCGCACATAGTGTCAGTACTATTCACTATTCATTCACCAAATTCACTTGCAATAGTTTTAAGAACTTTTGTTCATAATAGTAACATTTATTTAGAAACAGCTGTAGTTATTTACAAAATCACCTTACTACTTATATACACTATAAACTTACTGCTTATTTACACTATGAACTTACTACTTATATACACTATAAACTTACTGCTTATTTACACTATAAACTTACTGCTTATTTACACTATAATACTACTTACAGTTGATACAATTAAACACTGTATTTGCATTAACAGTTTTTGGGACCTTATCACACGAACGATGAAACCAGCCCAAACATGTTGAGCATTCGATCATAAACTGACCTTCGACATATGGCATCCTGCAGTGGCACAATAGTTCAACAGTCTCTTTTGAACGACCATGTTCCAAATGACCAGACTGGCTTAATGGGAACAATGACAGTTGGTCGCACATGAAGCACATGCACAGGTGTACCCTCATCAGGCTCTGGTCATAGGCTTCTTCACTTGGGTCACGTCCACTGCATAAACTAACTACAACTGCTGCAGCAAAAAGACCACAGTCAGACACACCTTCTTGCCTTTGCATTTTGGGCCACTCAATCACCATGTTTGGCAAGGTGGTCCTTAACAATGATGCCAATCTGCTTTTATCATGTCCAGACATTGTTCGATAAAGTGAGTTATAGACCTTTACAGTGTTCTTCCCACATCCAATATTTGTTACTGTCACCCAATGGCTTCCTCCTACATTCATTATTTGGACAAAGTTCTCTAGTCCTTTCTCCACTTTAGGGGTCTTGCTTTCAAAGGCCAACACTGAATGCAGGCCCTTTACTGCTGGAAAGTTATTTGAAATTAAGTATTGGGTGTAGTCGATGTCTCATCAGTGAGCCAGTACCCCTGCTGCATCATTGTTGATGCCAGATCTTCTGGATTTGCATTTGGAGTGCAATGTAGCACATTCTGGCTTGGAGACTTTTTGTTTCTGGACTTTGCCTTAACATTCCTCCTCCTGACTTCTTGATTTGCTGGCATGTCGGACGGTGGAGCTGGTGAGTCGGGTGGTGGAACTGACATGTCGGACGGTGGAGCTGGTGAGTCGGGTGGTGAAGACATCTCGGATGGTAGAGCAGATATCTTGTCTTGTAAGCTGATATCATGAAGGTCACTGGTCAGATAAGGTCGAAGCTGGTCATACGGCACCTTGTTCTTCAGTGGCTGTGCATTGTCTTCCCAAGGCGAAATTGTAACCCTTTGATGGTTATCAATGTGCAGGACCCTTTATGAGAAAGAAGTATGACAAAGCCAAATTACTTACAGTATTTGCCATAAAGAGTTAGGGGAGGGGCATTCACGAAAACCACATTGAATTATTAGACATATGGTTGAAATTGTAAATAAGACAAGAAATCCATAGTATTGGCTAGGCAAGTTGTTCTTAATTATGTGCAACTTCTTCAAATTTTCAGGAAAGCTAGTCAAGATACCAAGGTATTTATTTATTTTATCACATTAATAAAATGTCAATTATTATACTTCCAGTTTAGTCAGAGTCATTTTTTCTGGGACACACTGTACAATATTTCCAAGAAAAAACAAACATGACTGCTACTTGTCACAGTCATGCACGAGGAGAACAGGAGAAAATGAGTATGCACACAAAACTCACACATATTCAACAATATTTTTCTTACTTGTATGGACCTCTCCAAGTAGGTTCCATCTTGCCACCTTTTCTGGACTCATTCTTCATATACTTTTTGAAAACACCATCACCAACCTTGATATCAAAGGTTTTAACACCTTTTGCCTTTTGTTTTTCATACTGTTTTTTCTGCTTTTCTTGAGCAATTTCAACATTGCCAAGCACCTACATGCCAAAAACAAACACCAGATTATTTTTAACAAATTAGAATTTTTTGGAAGAAGAAATAAGTTGGTACACTACTGGATTATATTTTGTATTTGCCAGTCCATTGTATTACATACTTGTTTGCGTGTGTCTTCAGCAAGAGTAATTGCCTCATCAACCTGTTTCTCAAGTTCTTCTTCATCAAGGTCAGGTGGGGATGAACTGTCTGCCACAACTGTCATCTACAAAAATTATTACCAATTGTCAATAACTTTTTGGTTATGGTCATGAAAGGTTTTATTTTTGTCTTTTACTAAATTGCCTTTTATTTAAGAGGGAAATTCACCCTGAAAACAAGACCACTTCACCATGGTGCATACTGCCTTCTTGTTGTTTTCTCAAACTCACATCTCATTAACAAAGTATGTTGCAGATACTCTACAGGTGCCCTGTAGGGGTTATTATCTTTCTTATAATTATTATAAAATAAATTTACCATCTGGGGTGAATTTGGATTTCGACCAAACATTAAAAAATACGGAGTGTATTTCGTTGTTGCCTGCTTTTGTGTTCTAATGGAATAGGCAATATCCTCTAGGTATTTGCTCCAGTCGTTTTGGTGGTTGTTGACCAATTTGGACAAACGTTGCTTCAATGTTTGATTTGTTCTTTCATCTAAGCCGTTGGTCTGGGGGTGATAGGCACTGGTCACAGATTCACCCCAGATGCCAAACTCTTTGCAAACCTCATTCACTTTTGCAACAAATTCTCTACCCTGGTCGGAGAGAAGTCGAGCTGGTGCACCCCATCTTAAATTTGCAATAATTCCAGAATTAATGGCATATCTCTTTAGTAGATACAGTAGCTGGTGCTGCACCAGCATTATGTTGAAAATTAATAAAAAAACTAGTCAATAACTTATACTACAATTTTGCTAATCTTCCTTTGAATATAGATTTTTTGGACTTCTTATAAAGATTGCCATTTAAAACCCAAAATATGACGAATGTCGTGTTAATATATTTTACTCTGTCTAACACCAGACTATTTTACTCTGTCAAGAGGGGAGATCCAGCAATTCAGTAGTCAGAGGGTTAACCTTCAAGCACTGATGCAATATAACAGCATGCAAATGAGCATTACCTGCATGTAAATGTCTTGATGCATTTGGCAACACCATCTGCAGACTTTGTCAAAAGTGGGTAGAAATCTACAAACTTTGTGTAGTAATGTCCAAGGTGGCATTCACACCACTGTGTCCTCCCATGGCATTGCTATGGTGATGATGCAATACTTCAGAAATCTCTTCCATGGTAAGGAGAACTTTCTTTTTGGAAGCACCATCTTTCCCACCAGTGTACAGCTCATTATCTGAAATTTTCCGCTTCACTGTTAGTATTATTACATTTATCAATTTTATGGGTGATTACTAGTAATACTATTTGTTGATATAAGTTGCCATGATGATGTCGATGATGATGATGAGTAATGCACTCGTGCCACAGCACTGTTTATTAGATAAACAGGTATTTTACTACTGTTTAAGTGGAACAGTATCATCCTGTGGATAAATATAAAAATCTCGAAACATCGTAGTGAAATTTTATGTGTCTTATTATTAAATGTGATGGCTAATGCATGCCTTGATCATGACAGGATGAGAATCGATAAAAATATACAGTATTTAACACTCAACTTTGGCCTAGAATCTGATAATCACAGTGAATTATCTGCAAAATGTATTTACTTACTTTTTTCATCCAGAACATGGTTTTTAGCTTGGCCACGAACCACACATTGCTCATTCTTCGTCAACCCAGGCAGATGTTTTCCATGCTGAAGGTAGTGAATAATTCGCTCACATTTCTTGCTCTGTGTAGCTAAACGATCAGTTCTGCTAGGTTTACACGCTCTTTCAGGCTGTGCATCAACAACATCTTGCTGTGGTGTCATTTTAACGTTAGAATTTCGGTTTATTTGCAAAAGAATACAGTTGTGTTGTCCTGTCGAAAGCTTGCCAAAGAGGGGATGACTGAGACCGCATGGATTTCTTGTTATGCAACTCCGCTGACCCGCGCATGCGCATAACAAAAGGGGAGCATTGAGACTGGGGGAGTGCTGAGACTGTCACACCGAGAGGAGATGAGGGCGTGGTCACCCTCCCGATGCGACGCCCATTTCCGGTTGCTGGTCCTTTAGTGGATTTAGTGGTCCTTTAGTGGATATTTCTGGTCCTTTAGTGGATCACTTTTTTAGTGGTCCTTTAGTGGATACTTTAGTGGGGCGTTGCCGAAAACTGTGGACAGTAATATCTCAGAGCGGTTTCAAAGGATTTCAACAAAACTTGGGTGGGGCACTTAGGGCGTGGTCACCTACTATTGGCCACGCCTACTTCCGGCTACGCGTATTCTAGTCACCTACTACGTGCCACGCCCACTTCCGGGATGTGGGCGTGGTCGTCGATTTTTTGCCACACCTACTTCCGGTCGCTGGTCCTTTAGTGGATTAGGTCTGGTCCTTTAGTGGATTTTTGTGGTCCTTTAGTGGATTATTTATTCAACATCATATATAAGTAGAACTGTCTTGACAGACTTTGACAATACTTGGGTGGGGTATTTAGGGCGTGGTCACTTTCCAGTGGTGACATCCACTTCCAGTTTAAGCACACAAGAAGTTTGGATTGTTTTTAAATAATTTGGGTTTTTAATTAAATATTTTTATGATTTATTCCTACAGATGGAGGGCCCAGACTCACCAGAGCTGTTTCCGAGTGAGGAAGAGATTGTTCGAGTTGTGAAGATTGCGGAGAATGCAGAAGAGTATAAGGTTGCTGAAGTTGTGGATGTGGGCAAGGTCGCCAAGGCCAAAGACAAGGAAGAGGTCGCGGAGGTCATCGAAGAGCGGGTCGAAGCGGTCGAAGAGGTGGTAGTTGAGGGCCAGGTCGCCAAGGCAAGAGCAGAGGGGGAAGTTACCGAGGTTGTCAAGGTTGTTGATGAGGGCCAGGTAGTGGAGGACGAGGATCAGGGACAGGTCGAAGAGGTAGACGAGGGGCAGGTCGCCGAGGCAGGACTTGAGGGGGAGGTTACCGAAGTTTTGGAGGTTGTCGATGAGGGCCAGGTAGTGGAGGATGAGGATCAGGGG